TAGGGAAAAAAGTCCATTAGAGTTCAATATAATGCGTGTTTACCATTGAGCTTTTAACATTCTCTTTGCCAGTTTTGTAAAGGTATTTAAACTTTCTTCAGCAGCCATTTAGGGTGCATCAAGATGGCTTGAACAGTTTTATTACTGAAGTACCTTTTGTATTTGATTGGAAACATCTGGGTTTTGTAGCTTTTAGAAATAGCAAAAGAATGGAACCAGCAGATGGTGTAATGGTTACGTTGCTGGACTCCCAAATGGCCATGGTTCCTGTCTTGGACCTGGCAGCTTAAAACTTAGACTGGGTGTGTGTGAGTGCATGCCCAAAATCCCAAGAGGAGAATGGAAGTGAAAGGACTGTGGTGTGGCCATTCCCCCTTAGGGGTGATCTCTTTGTTTTTCTGGTGAGTGCATGTGCCTTATAACAAAAACCTCTTTAAGAAAAAAAAATAATAAAGCAAAAAGTTATGCAATCTCTTCTCATGTAATGCCATGACTTTCTGTCCATTGTTATTTTATTTTTTTTGAGAGGTTTTTGCTATAGGGCGCATGCACTCGCCAGACAGACAGAGAGAGACATAGAGACAGAAAGCGAGAAATCACCCCCCAGGGGGGATGGTCACGCCGCAATCCCTTCTCCTCCATTCTTCTCTCAGGATCTTGGGCACGCACGCATACACGCCCGGCGTGAGTTTTAAGCCACCGGGTCCGGGATGCGAACTGGTCGACTATGTGGGAGTCCAGTGACATAGCCATTACGCTAACTGCTGGTTCCCTGTCCATTGTTTTTTTATATTTGAAGATTTTAAGTAAAATAATTCCTGAAAAAAGGTCAAAAAGAAAAAACTATTATCTATATAGTCACCCCTCACTTTGGAGTCTTTTTCTATATTGTAAAATTGTACTTTTTAGCCCTGAAACCTGTTTTTAGAGGCGATTTATAATTTTGCGAGGTGATGCAGAAAATAATTTAACGGAAGTGATGCCAAATCTCTGTATCGTCTGACATAGAGCACCAACCACCACTGCCAAGAAAGCCTGAGTTTAGAGTGGCATGAGGTGAAAGACAAATGTCTCTGTTCTTTTCCCCTTTAAGAATTATCTTCTTACCTGCACAAACAGACTAAAAATCTGGCACAAAACACTGTTATGTAATACCTTATGTTGTGTGCCTCTCCCTCCCCCAAGCCTGTTTACAGTCAATTATAACCTGACAAACAAGACTGCTGTAACATCACTAAGTCTTTGTGAAACTATCACACTACAGGAAGTGTCAGCTGGCAAACAATTATACTTTAGATTTTATGAGAAATTCATAAAGGTGGCTGAGTGGATCAGTATGCTTTAGAACTATGAACAGTTTTAACTGAAACCAGAATGAATTTGGCTCTCACAGCTTAGTAATGAGTCATAGCTACCCACAATAACCTAATAAAAACTCAAGTTCATCCCAAGATGTTCCCTAGTGAATGAAAATGGGCTTTCATCGAGCTTTTTGTGGAAATTGGCAATGCCCACAAAATTTCAACTAAGTCCTTTCACATTGTAGGCTGACGATTTATGTATCTTATGCTTACTCTGACAGTGAACACTGAGTTTCTGGTATTCCTAACACATGCAGACAGCTACACAGAGCACTTTGAGACATGGGAGTAACTGTAGGTCTCCTTACTGAGTTTCATTCATGGGAATAGGCAGGGGGATTTAAGTCATGAAGGCATCGCCATCAGAAATAGCCTGGATGCACTGGTCTGTAAAAGACAGTTCCATAGTTAAGTTATATTTTGGGTTTTAGAATTTGGATATGAGAGGGCAGGCTTAAATACACCAGTTTTGGGGTTTTATTAACAGAGATTTTTGCTACAGGGCATGTGGGCTCACCAGAGAAAGAGACAGAAAGCAAGAAATCATCCCCTGGGGTAGATGGCCATACCGCAATCCCTTCTCCTCCAGTCTCCTCTCGGAACCTGGGGAACACAAGCACATGTGCCTGGTGTGAGTTTTAAGTCACTGGGTCTGGGACTCAAACCATGGTCAACTATGTAGGAGTCCAGTGATATAACTATTATGTAACAGTCATCTGCTGGTCCCGAGGTTTTTGTTTTGTTTTTTAAAGTTTCAAATATTGTTTGGAAGGTGCAAAGTCCCAGCTGGGAAAACCTCTCTATTTTATATCCATTTATCTGTCCATTTTGATGTATTTTTGAGGAAAGTAAACTGATGTAATAAATCTGCAGGTGAAAAAGGGCTAAGGCAGTTAAAAGTTGTAAGGACAGAGGGACCAGCAGGTGGCATGGTGGTTGAGGTGCTCCACATGGTCGACTACAGTTCAAGTTCCAGACCTGGTAGCTTGCTTTCTCACTTTCCCCTCTCCCTCTCTTTCTTTCTCTCTGGACAAAAAAAAAAAAAAAAAAAAAAAAAAAAAAACTAAGTGAATGAATAAATAATTCTTAAAAAAATAGTAAGGACAGAAAATCACAGCTATAATGTACAGATTCACTGCCAGACTGAATAAGATGCTTGGAAATGAGGAGTAGATAGAAACTCATTGTTATGGGCTGGGGTCTTATTAAGTTACTATTCAAATCAAAAGGAGTACACAGGTTAGTATAAATACTATATTTATTAAATATCTTTACAGTTTATTTAAATGTATTTACAGAACTATTCCTGCATAAGTTATATTTCAGACATCCAATTCAGGTAATTGCCTTTTGGGTAAGACAAATAATGATAGTCTCAACAGAAAAAAGCAGCTCATTAGTATACACAGATTCAAATTTGCTTCATTATTAAGCCATCTTTGCCACAAACTACCTGCTAACAGTTAAGATTTTGACATGGACACTGTTTTTAGTTGAAAAGTTCAATTTTGCAAAGAATTTTCTTTTTTTCTTTTTTCTTTTTTTTTTTTTTACAAATAAAATCCAAATGTTCTCTGCTTCATATTTACTTTTCATAAGCAGATACTGTTTTTTTTTTTCTTTTAATATTGTAAAATTGTTAAATGCAAACATGTGATATAGTTTCTAGAGAAACTGAATGGTGTAGCTTCTACCAAAGATAGCTGGTATAAGGTGACAAGGAACCATGAACTTATCCAAAAGTATAAACATTTACAGTTCTAGCCAGTCTTGTTTACAATCTCCAAAACACTCAAGACGGACTCAATAAATCCCCACAATTCCTGCCTTATTACTCGATGTGGGAGGTTGGTGGCACTGAAGATGGTTTCCATCTCTGGGCTACTGTTTTACCCAGAATGAACACAGCTGACAGGAGATGAAAATCTCCCATCATGCAAAGCTTGAGTCGAGTTTCTAATCTAGACACAGCCCAACCCCCAAACATGCACACCTGGAATGGATTCTTTTGTGATTTAGTACCCATCAACCATGTCAAGCAAGTACAGTAATTCAGGACAAATCACTTGTCTCACTCTCATCCCTTCTTTCACTTTTTAAGAGCCTATGGACTGTACTGCATCTCCATTTGGTAATTTTTTTTCTTTTCTTTTTTTTTTTTTTTTGTGGCCGGGAAGCTTAAGTTTCTCATCCCTTCTTTCACTTTTTAAGAGCCTATGGACTGTACTGCATCTCCATTTGGTAATTTTTTTTCTTTTCTTTTTTTTTTTTTTTTGTGCGCAGGCAGCTTAAGTTCATAGGAAGAAATAAGGTTCTGATATGTTTAGAGTGCACATTTTAAAACTGAACAAAATAAAAATTTCAAGCATGTGATAAAAATATTGATTTTTATAATACAGTATTGCTTTATAAATATAGATGGAAAAGCTATAAACTTTACTGGTCTTTGGTGCATCCAGAGAGGGATAAATAATTTGCCATTTGTAAGTTAGAAATCCAAATTTTCTCTTTTGTTATAAAAATTCATCACATGAGGCAAATGTATACGTGTGAGTGTATATGTGTGTGTGCTTGATTAAAATACAATTAACACACACATATCAGGTCTAGAATCAGACCCAGCAAGTGGTACAATCACACACAGGGGAACTTGGGTCTGTGACCTGGAAAATTCTACTCTGGGTCCAACACAGCCTCTAACTACTGAGAGCAGGAGGAGAGTCACTTGTTCAGCAGCACTCCAGGTGACCCCTGGCAATCATAAAAAATTAAGTGAATAACACTAAAAGGACAGGGGGAGGAAGGAAATAAATGATTTCCCATCATTAATCTGCAGGCCAGGTCTAAAGTCAATCTCACTATGAAACTCAATTCTTGTCTCACATATTTTCAGTGTCACTGGAACATTTCTAACAATCATTTTTCAAAAAAGTAAGGTGATTAAATGATTTGTGTAAAACACCACCAATTTAGCTTTACAAAGATTGTGTCTAATGAATTTGATGAGAACAGAGAAAAGCCAGTAACTTGATCAGCACTGCTCTTACCAGGAATTAAATGTAGGCGTTGGAAAATTAATGCAAAGTATATCCAGATCATGAGGCTGCATACCTCTGACCAAAATAATTTAAAACCCAAACAGAAGAGCTGAGGTCACCAATCCTAGTACAAATGTATTCTTTCCAGCAAAACCCTTCTGGATGCAACTTTTCTTCACTTTTTAAATACACAGAGACTGCAAATAGTTTGTGCAAAATAAATACCCCGCTGCTTGCCACTCATGCTTCTGTGTTTCATCACAGCATGATGATTTCTCCTCATTTAAATAGGGTCTCCCTCTGCACACATACTCCCACCCCCATCTCCTCTACCAAAGAATTCTGTTTTGTCAAGTTAGGGTAGTTAAGGCATTCTGACATGTAATTAAAGGTGATTCAAAATAGATATCTAACATTATGCCAATTTAGGAATAGTAGATAAATTACTGAACGGCTTACAAATGAATAACTCATTCTTATTATAAATGAAATGCCTGTTACAAGCATGATGCATTGAAATATAGTAATGACATGTACATGGTACATGTTAAACAATTTTAAATAAAACAAAAAGCTTGACAGTTACTCAAATATACAGTACAAATTCACAAAACAAAATCTTTTAAAACAAGTTGAGGTAACCTCAAACAAAAGTTTTAAATGCAATAAACCAGGGAGTCAGTATCTCCTTTAGAGAAAGACTTTCTATATTCTCCTTAAGTAGATTCTCATCAGGTTTAATTGCATTCTCATCTATACATCAAAGTTACCTGACTTTTATATATATATATATATAAAACATGGCTTTAATTTAAGGATTTCTAAGTATATATATTTTTCTACCACCAAGTTAATGAAGGAAAAAAAACTGACCCAAAAATATATATCTTTACAGCAGTCAACTTGTACACAAACTTTAAAAATAAGTTTGAGCTTGCAGATAACGGGAAAACCGAATGCGGGGCAGTTTTTTAAGGAAACTATACACTGCAAAATGGCTATTCGGAAACTGTAAACATTAAGCTTGATTCAGAAACCCCTAAATTTCTGTTGGGGGGGATTGCAAATGTCAAATCACTGCTAGGAGTTTTCCTCGTGGGCTTTCGTGCTGCTGCCGCTGCCACGTGCTCTTTCCACGGGAACTCACTGAATTTGGTGCATGCGCAGAAGAAAGCAAGGCTACTAATAAAAGGGCTGAGTGTAAGACTATGGGAGCATGACCCCGAAAGCCAATGCAATTCAGAGCTACAGCTGTCCATTTCTCACCCTCTAGGCCTACTGGCCACAAGCTCCCACACGGGGGCATTCTTTCAGACTACTGGGAAGAATTTTAGCTATAACATAATTCAATTTCTAGGCTTTGAGGAGTTTTACCATCTTCACTGACATGTCCGTTAAAAAATTTGGTAGTTTCCCCCACCCCTCCTGTAGAGCAGGCCACCAGCCTGTGACTTGTACTGACGAATAAACTTTAATCACAGGAACACAATTAAGTATCTTTTTAAAAGCACAAAACATTTGCATCCAAAGAACTAAAATATATTTTTCTTTCAATGTGTAACAAGCTTCTGGGATCAAGACTTCATAACCCAGAGCAATGATTTAGAGCAGAATTATAAGCTCCTGAAAAATAGGAGTTTACAATGAAAACATAAAGCCACACCCAACCATCATAACAAAGACTATGCCTGTGAAGTACACGTGTAACATTTCTTTTGATGAATAATGTTTTAGTACATGTATCATTACATACAATTTATGTTAGACTTTTAAAATCCCTTTAACACACTGTAATTCTGAATTCACTTTACCAACATTACTCATTTTCAATACTTCAACCACTTTTGCAAAGCAATAGCTGGGCTTTGAAAACCTCCATCCCTATCATGGAAAGGACATTGAGAAATGAAGGCCAGTCTTCAAACCTCGATCCTCTTGTTCCTGGCAGATATGAGCTAGTGAATGGTAGTAGTGGTTCTCAACGGGTCTCAAAAAGACAGGCAAAGGGCTTACATCACTGGCCATTGAGATCAGTGGCAAAGAAATGTGGTCCTGCCAGCAGGATCAGCACACATGGCAGGGGACATTTGGGAAGATGAAAGGAAAGGCAGGAGTTGACACCTTGGCGAGTCAGTCTGTATACTCAGCCACTATCGAAAGAAGGACGGTGATATCATCTGGCTTTCCACCTAAAACAAAAGTCAAAACCTATCAATATATATTAAAAGAAAAAGTCAATCAAGAATGAGGACCTAGGGCTGGCACAGCAATGACATGTTGTACAAGCAAGGTTGGACCCATACTCACAGGTTCAGTTCCCCAGTCAATTGGAAAGGCTTTTGGGGAGCGGGGAGGATTTGGGTGTTGGACTCTATTGGAATGCTTGTCTTTCTTTCTCCCTCCACCATGTGAAATTATTAAACTTTAAAAGAGAAATTATATGTAATTTCTTCACAGTCGGAGTTCTGTTAACATGGCCACCACATCCTCAGTTTATATCAGTCACAGTAAAGACAAAATCTGTTAGGATAAATTGTGCTTGACGAGAAAGTTACAAGCTTCTATCCACCATCCTAATTTGGACAAATATACTCAATGTTTTGAACCTAGGAATGGCCTTATATTCTAATCTGTAAAACAGTTATGGCTTGTTGCTTTGGTCTATTTTAACATTTCCTAGAGGGCTAAGAAATACTTTACATGTCATACTACTAACCAGCAAGAAATTGAACAACTCTACTAGCTCTGATGTGCAAGCACTGGCACATCATCCCAGCTCCGAGATGGAGGCACTAGCTCTAAAAGTCACACATCCCACTGCAGATAGAAGGACTCTTCAGTCAAGGGCAGTTTCACATTACTTCCCTTTACAAAATCTGCTATGGCAATTTGGCAGGCAAATATTGTCAACGAGTCCCACAGAGCCAGGGGAAGGGAAAAGCGAAATGTCAGACACGTGAAGGGCAGAATGTTAAACTGGGAGGAATGTCCAGGCCCTCCAGCACAGCTTGGAGGCCTCCTGGGCCCAGGTCCAAGCAGTGCAGTGGTGGCAATAAAGGGCTACAGGTTCCGCCTGCCTCAGCAGCCAATGAAGCTCAGTTCTGAAGGGCATCCTCTGTGGGGAAGACATGACGACACGTACTGGCTCTGGCCCTCCTGACCTTGCTCAGACACCAGCTCACCACTGGCAGGCTGGGAGAGGACACTTAAATGTCTCACCCATGGCCTGGACTGCTAACTCTACAAACACTATGTCCCCAGTTAGTCCCAACGACCTTCCCAAAGAATGCTTACCTCTCACATTCAATCCGTTGTCACATGCAAACTGTGCAAAAGGTGACATGTAATTTGGGTCATAGGCTAGCTCGTGAGCTTGCTCAGCAATGCTTCTTGCAGTCTGTTGTATACTCTCATAATTTGAATTCTAAGATGAAAGAACGAGGAGTATTTTTAACTATAATGCCACACATTTCTGAGTACAAGTATACTTCTGACAAATAGCACTTTTTAAGGCAGTAACATTTATTACCACAGCTTTATTCTAGTTGAAGACATTAAAACATTACACCTTGACTAAAATGAAAGAAATCATCTGTGATGCCTGGTGTCAATCAAAAAGTCTATTGCTAGGGAGGCCTCGAACCCTGAAGTTTAGATTTTCATTTTTGCTGTTTTCTTATTTGAAATTCCTAACATATTCTTGATAAAATGGGATTGACTAAAAGGCAGATTCTGATAACTTTTTTTAAAAAATTATTTTATATATCTTTATTTATTTATTTAAATCTGACCAGAGAGGGACAGAGTGAAATAAAGAGAGAGTGAGAGAACAAGAGAAAGTGAGAAACCAAGCCGCCAGGTCTGGGACTTGAACCATGGTTGGCCATGTAAGAATCCAGTGCCCTTAACCACCACATCACCTGCTGGCCCCAGATTCTGATAACATTTTAAGAATGCCCTCAAAAGTTTCCTGGCCTAGGAATGCACTCAAGGCCAATCAAGTAAAAGTAGCCAGTTGCTGCAGTGAAAAGACCTGTAGAATTCTGTATTATCAGTCTCGTCTAACTGCAATCCTGAGCCACACCCTTATCCTTGCTGCTTCAACTTCTTCATCTGCAAAATGGGGACAAGAAAACAAGGGCCATCTTAATATCTCTAACATCGCAAGGTTCTAAATAGTTTCAGTATGAAAAAATATGGGCAGGTGTCTGCTTCAGTGTCACCTCCTTTAAGAGGCTTTCCCCAATCTACAAGAGCAGCCCCCTCTACTCCTTTATCCTGCTTTATTTTCCCTCTCCTCCTTTACTACCACCACTATATTATGTATTTATTTCTTTCCATTATCTGTTTTCCCCACTAAAATGTCCACTTCATGAAGGCAGGCACTGTGCAGTTTCTTCTTTTTTTCTCCTATTTAACCTTATTTACTTATTCATTCATTCACTTATTTAATTTGAACAGAGAGGGACAGAGTGAGAGAGAGAGAGAGAGAGAGAGAGAGACCGGGGCGGGGGGTGGAGTGAGAAAGCAAGCCACCAGGACCGAGACTCGAACTCTGGTAGGCCATGTGGGAGTCCAGTGCCCTTAATCACCTGCCCTGGGACTGTGCAGTTTCTGCTCACCATTCTGTCACTACACAAAGCACAATGCAGGCTATGTGTACACACTTGACATTTACTGAACTCCATCAACAAGGTTTGGTGCTAAGGATTTCCTATGAGTAATGTTTCCAGAGAAATTTTTGTTAAGGAGTTTTCCCCAAACCTCCCCACCAGCCTGTGATTTGGACTAACAAATAATTTTTAATCACAGGTACACAATTAAGCATATTATTTAAAGCACAAAATATTTTTATCTACAGAATTAAAATTAAAATTAAAATTTATATAAAATTAATTTAGTCCCTTTTTTTTTTGAGAGGTTTTTGACTATAGGGTGCGTGCGCTCGCCAGACAGACAGAGAGAGACAGAGAGACAGAAAGCAAGAAATCACCCCCCAGGGGGGATGGTCACGCCGCAATCCCTTCTCCTCCATTCTCCTCTCGGGATCTTGGGCACGCACGCACATGCACCCGGCGTGAGTTTTAAGCCACCGGGTCTGGGGCGCGAACCGTGGTCGACTACGTGGGAGTCCAGCGACATAGCCATTACGCTAACTGCTGGTTCCCCTGAGGGGTAATTTCTAAGGTAATTTCCTTTGTCTCTCGGGCAAGCACACGTGCCCTATAGCAAAAAAACCTAAGTAAATAAAAGGAGAGGGCCAGCTCCATGGCACTGTAATGAGCTGCTCAAGAGAAGCAAGGATCCCACATGGTAAGTAAAGTTCAAATCCCCCACCCAGTTAGTCTGAAACATACAGGGTACAAGTAGAGTACCCAAGATCTGATGGGCTGCCAACCAGAGGAAGGGGATCATGGCATGCCAAACCCGGCAGAAGGTGCTCTCTCATGTGTAGAAACACTTTATCATGAATAAAGAATTACAAAAAAATAATAAAAAGAGAAAAAGACTACCAGGAGCCAACACCACTAAGCGCCATTAAAAATATAAATAAAAATTGAATCAAGAAATGTCCTCATTTGAATTTTGCCTACTTTTATCACCCTACTAAAGGATTAGGTGAAAGGCCTCTTTCCCCCTCAAGTTCTCCAACTATAAATATTTCCATTTACAATTGCTTGAAAGATTATAACTGTTATTATTTTCCTCAAGTTCACAAAGTAATCTTTTCCAAAACTAAAGAGATAATACAACTGAAATAATAAAACTCAGCTGCCCAGAAAGGGGCATTGTTTCCAAAGGGCTAACCTTTGAGTTAATTACCTTTAACTTTTTTAGCTCCTGAAGGATCATATAATCAGGCATGTTGTCAAAGAGTCCATCTGTCGCTGTCAGGATAATGTCTCCTAGCTGGACATCGAAAGATGTGCTATCAGCAGCATCCGGGCTGTGGCAAGGACAGAGTGGGGCACAGTTAAGAGTCCTTTCAATATATGACTCAAAGTTTCCGGCTGACACTATTTTACAAGGCAATAAGCATTTTTTAAGAAAAACTAGTTTATAATAATGAAATCAATATGGAAACAGCCATTCTGAAATTCCTAACCTTGAAATAAATTAACTGAAAACTCTGATTTGTAAATGTTCAAAAGCTTAACTGAAACGACCAAGTAAAACTGAGTATGAGGATTAGTCATGTGGGTTTACAAGAAGGGAGGGTTCTGTTCTGAGTCACAGCTAACATGTCCCTAAAGTCCTAGTGGAAATGAGTCTTTACTTCTCAATTCTTTAGAGAAATTCCATCCTCGCTTACTCATTTTTTACTCATCAGTTTTCCTGCATGCTTGAGCCTGGCTCTCAGGATGCTGCATTATAGTGAGAGTGGTATGAACATGTCAACCCTGTAAGAATTAATGCACAGAAAAAACTGACAGCGGTTTTGGTTTTGGCATAGTTGGGACCATGTGTATCTTCCAGGGACAGTGTTTACCATGCATTGGTATTTCTTTATGAGTAAGCCTGACACATAGTAGGTCTTCAAGAAATATCTGAATAACTAAAAAGCAAAGTTCACTCTTTGAATTGGTAAAAATCTCTTTAATATACAGTTAAGGGGAGAAAGTGGCTAAGCCAGTGGCATGATGGTTAAGGTGCTGGATCCTACATGGCTGAATACACGGTTTGAGTCCTGGACCTGGCTGCTTAAAAATCACGCTGGGTGTGTATGTGCATGCGTACTCAAAATCCTATGAGGAGAATGGAAGGGAAAGGATTACAACCCTCTCATCTCCTCTAGGGGGTGATTTCTCACTTTCCTTCCGTCTCCTTTTCTTCAGTGAGCACACCTGCCTACGGCAAATTAATAAATAAAATAGAGAGAAGAAAGCCAGGTGCAGGCAGTGTACAGTCTATGAAACTATTTCTGTAAAAATCATGGGGAAGACACATAGATGTGGGTTTCTATGTGCAAGGACTAAATCTGGAGAGAGTAAAAGAAACCAGGAACAATGGCTGCCCCTGAGAGAATGTGTGGCTGTGGACAGAGAGGAGGGCGATATTTTTGTGTGCAATTTTTTAAAAACATGCAGATCTTTTTTTTTTGACAATGCCTGACAGAAAAAGAACTAAGAATGGAGAAAATAAGACTCCATGCCCCCTTGGAAGCTGGTTCTCAGTTCTCTCTGAAGGCCAGTGTTTGCTTTCATGACTCCAAGAGGAGGAAAAGGTTAGATCTAACCTTCTGCCTTCACCTGTCACTAAGGAACAAGATCTAGGAAAAAAAATTCAGACACTGACCTGGAAAGAAGGGACCAGATCCTAAGCTTAACATAAAGACTCCAATGCTTATGTAAGAGACAAGGTACAAACTTTGTGAAGAGAAAACACAGAATCACACATGCCTGCTGGAGATTTGCACACAGAGCATGAGAAAATTTCCCCTTTACCTTCTCCAGACTCTGGACAAAAGTAGCACATTGAAAATTCTGTGTTGTGCTTTTGTGGGAAACAAACTTTCACTTACACATTTATATAATACGTATTTTGTAAAATCAGCTACTAAAAAAGGAAAACCTGGATGTTAAGGTTAAAATGCTATTTTACATATAGAAAACAGTGACCAATAACTGTGATACACGCAGCGAGAAAAAAATAAAAAAGACTGTCAAACTGGTGGGAACCAGGTCGATTCCTTCTGTGGAATCAAGAAAAACAAATAAAGACACTCTCATCTGCTTGGTCTTTGAAAATTAATCAGATTCTAGTGTGGATTAATGACCAGGTTGGCACTGCTGCTATGTTTTATGCTGAGGTTTTTCTTTCCCCAGGACTGTCCTTTGCTATCCTGCCTTGAGAGTCTCACTCCCATTGGACAGTGTGTGCTCTCCTAACACTCCCACCCATGAGCTTGGTGTTCCGCCAGCTGCAGTTTTGCCCATTTTGATTGAACATACTGTGCTGCCGGAAACTTTTGACTGCACTGAAACACGAGCTGAAATCACATGCTAGTGAGCTATGTCTAGGCTCCAGGGGAAGCCACAGCCACCTCACTGGCAGGCGGCAGAATGCTGCTCTAACCAGACTGTCTGAAGATAGCGTGTGAGATACAGCGGGGCTGCTCTAGCACTGAGAAGCCAAGAAAGGAAGAATCGAGTGAAAGAAAAAGCGCCATTCTCCAAAAACTGTTCGCGAGCTTGCTATCTACTGAGTCTTGAGGTTCTCTCTACTTGATATGACTAATATTAATTAATGTGTATTTCAGTCAAGTGAGGAAGAACCTGTATCAAATATTCTTCCAACTATGGTAATATGCCTAAATCTAAAAGTAAAAAGTGCTTCCCTCTCTCTCAAAGAATCAGCAACAGATTTTTCAGATGGGCAATACCAAATACCTAATTATATAATGTGCTCATTCCTGTTTCAGAGAGGGCAGTAACAATCATTTCATCTTAGTCTGAACTTAAGAACTTGCTTACAAAAGGTTCGTTACCCATTTAACAGCATTTATGAACTGCAGTGCTATGTGTGCCAGACCCTGTGAGGCTGTTACAGGCAGTGAAATCCAAGTCTTTCTTAGCCTTACTTTATACATTCATCAGGAGAGGGAAACTATAAAAGTTCATTAAAAAAAATATCAATTGTCTTGGAAAGAAGGTTCTTGACAATTTAGAAATGAATTGGGAAGATGTCAAAAACGAAGAGAATACCTCGGTAACGTCATCACAAAAATATCCGAGACAATTTGGGAACCAGCAGTTAACATAATGGCTATGTCGTTGGACTCCCATGTAGTCGATCGCGGTTCGCGTCCCGGAACTGGTGGCTTAAAACTCACGCCAGGTGCATGTGCGTGCGTGCCCAAGATCCCGAGAGGAGAATGGAGAAGGGATTGCAGCGTGACCATCCCCCCTGGGGGGTGATTTCTCGCTTTCTGTCTCTTAAGTCTCTCTCTGTCTGGCGAGTGCCCGTGCCCTATAGCGAAAACCTCTCCAAAAAAAAAAAAAATCCGAGACAATTTTTCTTTCTCTTTTCTCTAAGTTCTAATACATGCAGTAAGAGGTCCTGAGAATCAGAACATTACTCTGATAAATAAAGCAGGTGTCTGTGCTCTTCTCTAATAACGCATGTGATTCCTGTAGATTCTTGTATGGGTGATCATATGAGCAATGCCTCATTCTTCAGTACAATGTAACAAATACACATATGGAACTGGAAAGAAAACTGTGTGAACTGAAATAGTATTTTCACAGTCTTGTCAAATTATTGGGTGTTTATCAGAATTCAACTTGGCTATACTATCTAGTTCAAACAAAATATCTTTCAAAGTCGAACTAAAAGGTCTTTCTGAAGAGAACATTCTCAATGTGACTTTTCTTATGTAAAAATGGAAAACATCTCTCCCCTCTGCATTCAAGGGGTATAGTTTGGGAACCTGTAGATGAACCACATTCTGCTCACATTTATGAGTGAGAAGAGAGATTACCTGTCACTCAAGACAACTCCCTCAGCTTCAGGGGGAGCAATTGAAAGCTGGAATGGAGTGTTGAAGTAATGCTGCTGTTCATCTGATCGGTGCACAACTTCACCGCCCCTGACAACCAGGAAGCCTGAATCGCCCAGGTTCGCTGTGTGTAAGCGGTGACTAGTTCTGTCCAACACCACGATGCAGGCGGTACTGCTACCTAGAAACAAAAATGATCACCATTTATTTTTTCTTCCTAGGTTGCCTCTGCATACACATCTTAATCACATAATCGCAAAGAGCAACATGCCATAATTTTCCTTTGCCTAAGCAGGATGGTTCCACTACATATCCCCTCCCTATGAATAGCAATAAATAACCTGATCAGGGTCAATACGGTAGGGGAGAAAAAGGGATTCACACTGGACACAGTATGTGGGCTACTGATGATCTGAATTCATCCATCCGCAGAGATAGAAAACAATAAAAATGACTGGTATTTAATGACACTACATTTCACTGGTGCTATGATCTTTGCCAAATGCTCAAAAGCATGTTGTTGAGCTATTAAACTTCAATAGCGAAATGCCAGAATGAGAATGTTATGTTTTCCTGACATTTTTTTTATTAGTGATTGGCAGGAAGTCTTCTCCACGAAATTCACTAACATTTAAGACAGGGCACATAACCAGTTTTTATCTAGATTTCTATTTGTTGAGGTCATGAAGGATTTTTCTTGGAGACTAAGGACTCACAATGAAGTATCAAGACCAATTTTTGCAGGTAGTTGGCAGAGTCCACCTATTCACTTTCCAGAGACTACTTCATGAAGGCATGAACTGGATGTTCATGATGGCACTCTGGATACCTGTGCTGCACCAGCTCCCATAACCTCCAAGGCTGAAAGGCCACAGTACAACTAGGAGAGTTGACTTTCAAGTACTACAATTTAAACCTGCACCAGAAAAATGTCAAAATAGAAAACAAGGCAGTCCACCAAGAAATACAATAGCAGCCAGCCAGGTGGTGTGGTGGTGAAGGAGGCTGGAACATGGCTGACTGCATGGTTTGAGTTTTGGACTCAGCAGCTTGGGAAACATGCCAGGTATGTATGGACACATGCCTGAAACCCCAAGAAGAAAATGGAAGAGAAGGGACTGGGGGTGTGTGTGGCCCCCCCCCCCCCCAGGAGATGATTTCTCACTTTCCCTCCCTGTTTTTCTCTGGAGAGTGCATATGCTCTATGGCAAATATCTAAAAACAAACAAACAAACAAACAAACAAACAACAACAACAAAACAAAAAGGCAAGATAATGTATGGTGGGGGCTCGCAGGTGGCAGGTGGTTAAGGCACTAGATTCCCACATAGCCAACTGTGGTCTGAGTACCGGACTTGACAGTTTGAAAATCATGTGGGCCATGTATGTGTGTGTCCAAAAACCAGGAGGAGAATGGTGAAGGGATTGGTGTGACCATTCCCCCTGGGGGGTGATTTCTCATTTTCCCTCTCTCTCTCTCTCTTCTGTGAGTGCTCATGCCCTATAGCAAAAACTGGTATTGGCAAAGGGACAGCCAAGGAACAAGTTCTCCCTTGTGGTAGTGAAGAGTAAACTGAAAAAACCTTTTGGCAGGGCAATGTAGTCTCGAAAAATATCCATGTCCTTTGAACTAGCTATTTCACTTACAAGAATTTATCCCAAGGGAACCAGCAGTTAGCATAATGGCTATGTCACTGGACTCCCACATAGTCAACCACAGTTCGCGTCCTGGACCTGGTGGCTTAAAACTCACACCGGGCACGTGTGCGTGCGTGCCCAAGATCCCGAGAGGAGAATGGAGGAGAAGGGATTGCAGCGTGACCATCCCCCTGGAGGGTTATTTCTCGCTTTCTGTCTCTATGTCTCTCTCTGTCTGTCTGGCGAGCGCACGCGTCCTGTAGCGAAAACCTCTCCAAAAAAAAAAGAATTTATCTCAAGAAAATAATTAGAGATGCAACGAGACTTAACTACAAAAACATTGCTTAAGGTCAGGAAATAGTAGAAACAACCTAAACGCCTAAAATTAAGGGATTGGTTAACACATACATACCATACAAGGCTATGCATTATCATGTAACACTTTTTTTTTTTTTTGGAGAGGTTTTCGCTATAGGGTGGGTGCGCTCACTAGACAGAGAGACATAGAGACAGAAAGCGAGAAATCGCCCCCCAGAGGGGATGGTCACACAATCCCTTCTCCTCCATTCTCCTCTCGGGATCTTGGGCATGCACGCACATGTGCCTGGCGTGAGTTCTAAGCCACCGGGTCCGGGTCGCAAACCGTGGTCGACTACGTGGGAGTCTAGCGACATAGCCATTATGCTAACTGCGGGTTCCCTTTTTTTTTTTTTTTTATAACACTTGGGAATATAGACTATCTGCATCTGAAGTCTACCTCTGCCACTTACCAGCTTTGTAACCATAAGCAAATCACATAATCTCTCAGTTTCCTCATCTACAAAAATAGTGTAGTTAATAATAACTACTTCAAAGTGTTATTTGTAAGAATTAAAATTAGTTAATTGTGCCAAACATAATAAATATTAGTTATCTGACAGCAATTAAAATTATGCTAAAGGGGGACTAGTGGATGGTGTAATCGTTATTTTTTTTTTTTTTTTATAACACTTGGGAATATAGACTATCTGCATCTGAAGTCTACCTCTGCCACTTACCAGCTTTGTAACCATAAGCAAATCACATAATCTCTCAGTTTCCTCATCTACAAAAATAGTGTAGTTAATAATAACTACTTCAAAGTGTTATTTGTAAGAATTAAAATTAGTTAATTGTGCCAAACATAATAAATATTAGTTATCTGACAGCAATTAAAATTATGCTAAAGGGGGACTAGTGGATGGTGTAATCGTTACATCACTGGACTCCCACACAGTCGACTGTGGTTCAAGTCCCAGACCTGGTGGCTTAAACTCACGCTAGGCACATGTGTGTGCATGTCCAAAATTCCAAGAGGAAAATGGAGGAGAAGGGATTGTGGCGTGGCCATGCCCCCTTGGAGGTGACTTCTCACTTTCTGTCTCTCTGTCTCTCTGGTGAATGCACGTGCCCTATAGCAAAAACATCTCTCTTAAAAAAGGTATGTGAAAGAAATACATTTGAAAATGAAAGATAATTTAAGTGATATAAGTAGATTATAAATTATAATTAGTCAAAGATTCATTTATCCTTTAAAAAAGGTGACATCAAAACTTAAAGAACTGTATATCAAAAGGTGTAAAGTTTGCTGTAAGCAAATTAAAAAATAAAAGCAATACTAGGCAAGTGTAAGTTGTTACAGTGATAGCTAAAAAGCAAAGAAAACAAATAGACTATGGAATCGCTGTGTCAAGTCCCAGTGTGCCATCATTTCCTAGCTGAGCTATGGGCAAATTACTTATTCTCACTAGGCCTGTTTCTACCTAACAAAATGTGTAATAAAAGTACCTATGTACCTACTTCTTGGGGCTGTTGTGAGCACATAGTAAATGCAATTCAAGCTACCATTATTCTGTGTACAGCATACATACAAGAAAGCATAGGAGCATAATTGCTAAAATACTAATAATTTTCTTTCTTTTTTTTTTGAGAGGTTTTTTCGCTATAGGGTGTGTGCGCTCGCCAGACAGAGACAGAGAGACAGAAAGCGAGAAATCACACCCCGGGGGGGATGGTCACGCCGCAATCTCTTCTCCTCCATTCTCCTCTCGGGATCTTGGGCACGCACACACACGCGCCTGGCGTGAGATCTAAGCCACCGGGTCCGGGACGCGAACCGCCGTCGACTACGGGGGAGTCCAGCGACATAGCCATTACACTAACTGCTGGTTCCCTTAGAGGGATTATGGGCAATTTATTAATTTTGTTTTAATGGAAATGTACAACTTAATAATAATTTTTTAAAGAATTATTTTATTTAACTTCCTTCCTTCCTTCCCTTTCCTTCCCTCCCCTTCCCTTCCCTTCCCTTCCCTTCCCCCCCCTTCCCTTTCCCTTTTCTCTTCCCTTCCCTTTCTCTCTTTCTTTCTTTTTCTTTTCATTTGACTGGGGGTGGGGAGAGAAAGTGAGAAAGCAAGCTGCCAGGTTCAGGACTCAAACCATGGTCAGCCATGTGGGAGTTTGGCATAATGGCTATATCACTGGACTCCCATGTAGCCGACCCTGGTTTGAGTCCCAGACCCACTGGCTTAAACTCATGCTGGGTGCATGTGCATGCGTGCCCAAGATCTCGAGAGGAGAATGGAGGAGAAGGGACTGCGACATAGCCATCCCCTCTGGGGGGTGATTTCTAGATTTCTGTCTCTGGCGAGCACACATGCCCTACAGCAAACAAACAAACAAACAAAACTTCTCCAAAAAAAAAAATTTAAAACACTTAAGCATAAGCATCTCTCTCACCCTAATATTCCCAAACTCCATTTCCTTGCTCCCCTCAGTGCATGCACTGGTACTAACCTGACATACTAATTGCAAAGCCTTCTAATTCTCTATCTAGTAAATGTCGAAGAAAGGAAAGGAAAAACACTGTAACTAACTGGTAGTGATGTCAGATAACCTTCTCCACAGCTTACAGTTGAGCAAAGATTATCAATTAGCTTTTCTTCCTAACTCAATGCACAAAAATCTCCAACCTTTTATCATTAACAGAATTGCCATGGAAAACTTTCAAAAAGCTGATGGGATTAAATTCTAGCTGAGAATGAAGAATGACAGATCAGTAGAATAGCCCTGAAAATTTTCCTGCAAGAATAACTCATGTTACTCACTGACAAACCTAGGCTATCATTTTGCTACCCTTCTGATAGTAACCCACTGAGTGAGAATCAAAATGGCTTTGAAGAGCTGTATGTAGCATCCAAAGTAGCGTCAACAAATGCAGGCCAGTATCATCTGGGCTTAGGGTAAATGCTGCTCAATTCACTGAGGGATGCATGTGGCTCAGGCCTATATAACCTAATAGTGGGAAGAGAGTTCATGATTCTCATGTGTTTGGAGAGAAACAAGCAAGCAAAGAAGAGTAAGAAAAGAGGTGCTGAGAACAACAGTATCTAACTTTCAGATGACTGACCCACATACAGAGACACTCGGGCAAATCCCTCGAACTAAAATGGAAATATTTTGATCACTCAGCTTCTTATTCTGTAAACTACTAAGCCTTCTGTGCAGTAGAGAAAGAAATAACCTAATTAGGACTGGCCCCACAAATTCTTAAGATATATTGGCTTCATACAATCTTAAGAATCCACTTAAGGGTTTCAGAGGAAATGATACATATCAACAATTAGCCAGAGATGTCAACACAGAACCAAAAGCCACTACACATTCAAAGTAGTACGTGGTTACAGCTATCAGCTCGCCTTTTATATTATAATTACTTTTTAGGGTTGGTGTTTAGCAATTGCTAGATTAAAAAATAGTAAGATTATCTAATCTTGTAAAGTTATTATTTACCATTACATCTAAGGTTTGATAAAACCAACAAGTCTCTCTCTGCCAAAATATGCTTGAGTTTAGTTATGAACAACCTAGTGACATGCAGATTGCATGAACTCTGTGTGTGTGTGTGTGTGTGTGTGTGTGAGAGAGAGAGAGAGAGAGAGAGAGAGAAAGAGAGAGAAACATGGTAATGAAAGATTATTTCAGGGCTGGCAGGTGGCATGGTAGTTAAAGGCGCTGGACTCCCACATGGCCAACTGTGGTTCGAGTCCCAAACCTGGTGGCTTGCTTTCTCACTTTCCTCCACACCCCGCCCCCTGCCCCCCGTCTCTCTCTGATCAAACTGGAAAATAATAATAATAATAAAATTAAATAAAAAATAGTTAAAATTTTTTTGAAAAAAATTATTTCAGTGTCTTTTAGGAGAAAAAATAACAATATTCAATGTTAGAAGACCTCTAATGTTTAAGGATCTTAAAATTTATTTTATTAATATCTCTCAGTTACATAAGGGTGCATAGAAAGGGAAAGGATAGGGAAAACATAGCAAAAGATAAAGTTTTAAAATACAAAATCAGGACAGTTCTATGTTTTATAACTGGTTATTCCAAGACAAAGTAAATGATGGGGCTATAGGGGTGGGGAGATGGTTGTTGCAGAAGTCACTGGGAAATCTATGTCTAGGAGCATTCTCTCCATTTCACATATGAAACAAGGAGGTCACAGGTTAAGTGACTTGTCCAAAGTCATATAGCAAGTTAGCAGAGAGGTGCTAGAAATAGAATCTAGAATGATTCACTATTCTGGGTAAACTCCAGATAGCATGTCTAAAATAGGGGATTAAGACAAAGCAGTAGATACTGAAACTGACAAAATTTCCCCAGTTAGAATTAAAACAAACTGGGTAATCATGGCAAGAGAAGACAGAAAGACAACAGAGTGAGAAAAAGAACTCTTTGTTAAAAAGGATTAAAACTGTAGACAGATTGTGGCTATAGCAATCTCCATTTACATAGAATAGAGGCTAATTCTAAATGTGGGTGCTCTGAGGGAGCTCTTCTAGTAACCAGAAAGATTCTGGCAATTAGTGGAGACTTAATAACATCTTTCCAAGAGTCCTTTCCGAGAGTCTGCTTAGAAGGCTGGGTAAGCTCCCAGGAAACCACTTAACAAATACAGAAGCCTGGCCAAAGGATGCTCCACTAGCATGCCAGATAAACAATTGCTAGGTATTTGGTTTTCAAGTTTTCTAATAACAGAGTAACAATAATATACTTTGTGTCAACCTATTTCACAGACTCAGTGGCTGTTAACAGTCTGGGTGCTTGCTTAGGTGCAACTTGAACTCCCCATAGAATTCTACAGGCCTGATCCTAACCCTCTTCTTTCCTCTGAGAGACCCATTATTTCGAATTTAAAACCTTGTCATCTACTTTTAAAATATTTTAGAATCTCTAAACAACAGTTTTAACCTATATTTTGGAACATGAAATATATGGGATAAAACTGTGAAGTAGTATTCTGCAATGTCCTCTTTTCACAATATGTTCTCTAGAACTGCATGCAGCTTTAAGTTGTCCCCTTTCACAATGCATTTTTCTACTACTGATGGACTTTTAGGTTGTTCTCAGTTTGCTGATACTATTGGCAATACAACATTTTCATATCTGTCTCTTGACAAGATATCTCACAAGAGATGAGCAAGACTTTCTCTCAAGCAGGGTAAATGTCTAAAAGTGGAATTGCTGGGGCTTACTACATACTTATGTTTAACTTTATACCAAATCATTACAAAGTGGTAGTACCTATTTACACTCCCTCCAAACTGTATTAAGTATTCTGGTTAGCCCACAGCTTCTCTATTAAACTCTGCTTTGGAAGAAGAACCTTGAAAAAAAAGCTGGGCTAGCAAGTTATTTTCTTGGTGTCTTCTTTTTTTTAAAATGGAATAGTGGGCTTCATTAAAGAGGAAAATACATACAATGTCTACTTACCAAGCAAAGGTACTTTATTTTGCAGCAACTCACAGTAGCTTGTGGTGAGGATTCCAATGGGATTACTTGGTACAAACCGTCCTTCTTTTACTAAACGTTCACATGTACGCATTAAAGTCCCTGAGAACTGAGATGGATCAACTCCATAGTCTCTCCATCCTCCTACGCCATCTGCAACCCCTTAAAAAGAAAAAATAAATTTAAAGAACATTCTTACCAACTTCTCAGGTATTCTTTCCCTGTCTCCTCCTTTTAAAAATAAAAAAAAAAACAATTTTTTTTTTCACTTAACTTTATTGATTTGTTTATTTCAATTTGACCAGAGAGGGATAGTGAGAGAAAGTGAGAAAGTAAGCTTCCAGGTCCAGGACTTGAACTGCAGTCAGTCATGTGAGAATCTAGCACCTTGAAACACCACGCCACCTACTGGTCCCTCCCCATCTCCTTCTAACAGTTAATTTTACTACATACTAGTACGTATGTTTACCCCAAAAATTCAGAATAAAAATCCTCAGGTATGGGGCCAGCAGGTGGCATGGTGGCTAAGGGCGCTGAACTCCCACATGGCTGACTGCAGTTTGAGTTCCGAACCTGGTGGCTTGCTTTCTCTCTCTCTATCCCTCTCTGGTCAAATTAAAATAAAGTTAAATAAAATAATTCTTAAAAAAATCCTCAAGTAATGCCTTATACTTAATATTCCTAAGTAACATTCTCCTACTTAGAATGTGTTCTTTCATATATTAATAAATCAACTTTTGATATAATTAACTTTTTGCTACCACAGGATGGAGTTTCCTACAAGCCAAGAGTTCAATTTCTGCAGGATTATCATTTTTGTAGACAAGTATTTAAGTTATTAATAGTTTGTTGTATTTTACAAGAATAAAAATTGACTTAAAAAAAAAAAGTGCTGATGCAATTGAGCCACAGCTAGCAATCATTAAGAATACTAAAAGCAGTAAACTTTTAACTTCAAACATTGTTCAATAGTGTGAAATAAAGAATGAAACTAAGAACACATCCCATCCCCTTTTCTCTTCCCTCAGATGTAAACATGATCCTATACAGGACTGTGCTGTCCAATGCAAGAGTTTTTATTATCAGCACACATAAGGCTGTGGGGCATATGAAAAATGGCTGGACCAAACTGGAATATGCTAGAAGTATTAAATACACATTGGATTTTGAAAACTTAGTATTAAAAAAAGGGGGGAAAATTTTCATTGATTTTAATATTGATTACACACTGAAATAATATTTTGGATATGGTACACTGGAGAAAATACATGATTAAAATTAGTTTTGCCTTTCTGTTTTTATTTAAAGTAAATACTAGGGCATTTAAAATTACTTATGTAGCTCACATATTCTTATTAAATGCACTAATACAGAGATTTTCATAGGTTCATACAGCTGCTGATGGAGTTTATATTTTGTCTAAAGCTACCTTATCGAGAGGAAACTAGTGTTCAAGAATGCCAACAGGGGAACCAGCAGTTAGCATAATGGTTATGTTGCTGGACTCCCACGTAGTCAACCACGGTTCGCATCCCAGACCTGGTGGCTTAAAACTCACGCCGGGTGCATGTGCGTGCATGCCCAAGATCCCAAGAGGAGAATGGAGGAGAAGGGATTGCAGCGTGACCATCCCCCCTGTGGGGGTGATTTCTTGCTTTCTGTCTCTATGTCTCTGTCTGTCTGTCTGGCGAGCGCATGCGCCCTATAGCAAAAACATCTCCCCCACCAAAAAAAAAAAAAAAAAAATGCCAACAGGACATCAAAGTCAACATCATACAATCTTCTATTCAACTCCTTGCAAAACAGCTAGCTAGTAATTTTTTTCAACATTAAAATAAATTTTTTAAGAGATTTTTTTTTTTTTTGCTATAAGGCATGTGTGCTTGCTAGATAGAGACAGAGAGACAGAAAGCGAGAAATCACCCCCGAGGGGGGATGGCCACACCGCAATCCCTTCTCCTCCATTCTCCTCTCAGGATCTTGGGCACGCATGCACATGTGCCCGGTGTGAGTATTTAAGCCATCGGGTCCGGGACGCAAACTGCGGTCGACTACATGGGAGTCCAGCGACATAGCCATTACACTAACTGCTGGTCCCAACATTAAAATAAATTTCTACCTACTATTAGGTTGACTGGAAAATTGTGATGTACTTTTGCATTGAAAAACATAGAAAAAATACATCATGACTTTCCTGATGACCTAACGAATTCAAAGAAACTGAGAGAAAATGTCAAATATATACAATGTTGGGACTAGCAGCTGGCTTAATGGCTATGTCACTGGACTCCCACCGAGGCGACCGCCGTT